TTTAGACTATCATTTTTAGACCAAGTATTTATACTATCGATTTTACAAAGTTGCAAACATTTATTTTAGTGACAATTATAATGAATTTCCTATATTATCTTGCACTCATATACTTTGAGTTACATATTTAAATAAACAAATTCGACATTCAATTACCTATGTATGAATTTCTCCTATATAATCTTGCACTGATATACTTTTAAAAATTTATTTAAATATAAAGATTGGGCATTAACTCATTCGAGCAATGCGCATGTAAAACTAGTAAGTAAATAAATATTGAATTTGTTTATTTAAATCTGTAATTTAAAGTATATAAATGCGAGATAATATATGAGAGATTGATTATATTGTCACTAGAATAAATGTTTGCAACTTTTTAATAACGCTAGTCTAAACATGATAGTCTAAATAAATACTACTTTTGGTTTAAATTTCTCTAATTATTCTTAATTCTCTTTTGGGTAACATTGTCATTGTCTTTATCTTCAGTACATGTCTTTTTTTATTTTATTTTTTTATTGGTAGCATGTGCAATTGGGTTACTAGTGGTAGCATAGATGGATTCATCGTGCAATGAGATTATGGTGTAGGAAGCTTTAGATTTTCCTTGTTGTGTATATGGTGAGATCTTAATTGTACTATTATATTAACTCTTTATCTTACAAGCACCTATTGATATTTGGTAGTGGTAGTTTTTCCCCTACATGTTTCGTGCGTTGTGAAATATGTGTCGTATGTTATCATGTGAAAGTATTGAATAAAATATTAATATTTATTATATTTGTAAAAAATACTTGGTAAATAAATATATAAAACATATTTTGTATTATAACTTTAATATTTAATTACAAGATAATGTAAAAAGAAGACAATGGACAATGTAGTGAATATAATAAATTAATAAATTTGAAAGTAATGAATCTTTGAATTGTATAAAATAAAGATAATATAACTAATGAAATTATATCTCTTTTAAAATTTTTATAATGAATATTTTTTTTAAATAAAGTCATTATAGACATCTAATTCTAAATTAATTAAATGCATATGTATTATTTTTTGTTATAGCTACTAATTTATTTAATTTAATAAGAGTAATAAAGTGGCGTACATACTTTTCATCAACAATAATGAAATCGTTGATTTGTTTTTTTAATTTACATTCGTTATTGATACAAATTATTTTGAGAGTTTGTCAATGGCAATTGTTACAATTCCCGTCAATAGAAGATGATAATAAATAATTCAAAATATATAGTTACAATAGATATTGTTATAATGATATAGTAAAAATTAACTTACAAATTTCTTTAGAAGTTTTCATGCATTGATAAAATTATGATGTGTAAACTTGTTTAATTGGAGCCAGTGGGATCTCAACATTATCAATTCTTTGGAAAATGACCCTACCGTTTTAGAGTCCAGGTGTAATAATTGTATTTATGATCAACAACTTTGTAGTTAGGTCGCGCAGGTCTGACAATGATGTTAGAACAATTTTGTCCAATAAAAAAATAATAGTATAATATTTGTAAACTAATGTACAATTGTATCATTATAAAAATATATACAAAAAATATTGATACCATAACGACCTAAATCATACAAATAATGCAAAATTATAATTGAAATATTAAATTTTGTTATCATCTAAATAATCAAAAGAAGATTAATTAAACGAAAAAAAAATTAACCTAAATTTGTTTTTTTTTTTTTTAAATGCGTAAAAATCAAATGATTTTTAAAGTTCTGGATTTATAATCTTTGATGCTTAACTTTGAATGTTATGTATTTAGTCGGACTAATTATTTGACCAAAGTTTAAGTTAAATTTTATATTATATATATTTTAATACATTTTAACATATTCGTAGTATATGTTTAACAATTATACCAACTCTAATTGGGATGAGATTCGAATCTAAAACCTTTTTTATAGAAAATAATGAGTAAGTTAAAAATAATAAATAGTTAACGGAATATTACGTTACTAAAGTTTATACTAACGGAGTTTATGGTTATTTAGGAGAAAAAATAATATAATAGAGGGTAAATAAGGAGAATCATTAAAAAAATACTAAAATCAAAATAATATGAACCATTTATTTTAAGAAACAATACTGCGACATTTTTTTTATTTAGATAGAATAGAAGTATAGAAATATAGATTATTCTAAAATGTATGCAATTAATTACATACAGAAACACAAAGAACCAATAACGCCTTCACAGAGGCTTGAACTCGTAACCTTCCAAATAGAAGTCCAACTCGGGTACCTTAATTAGCATAACGTTTTTAATTTAATTACAATTAATTCCTTAATTAGTATTAGTATATTAGTATAATCACAAAAGGAAGAAAATATTATATTAATTAATCAATGATTAATTATAATTATTATTACCATCTTGGCAAGGAGAGAGAGAGTGTGTGTATATATATATATTCTACATTCCTTAAGATGTCCAACACACATAAACCCTATCAATATTTAGCAGAAGAAAAATCTCTACACTATGAAAAGCTTTCAGATTGGCGTTGTTATGCTATGCATGGCTCTTACTCTGAACCTAGGTAATCTCACCATTTGATTTTCATAGTTGTTATTATTGATTTTTCGAAGTTCATTTTTACTGCAATTTGTGGATGAATATATATATATATATATATATATATATATATATACATTTTGAAAAGGTTCAATGGCGAACGCTGGAGAAGATGGTGGTGTGCTTTCAAGGCCAGATCCGGTATGCATAGAGACTAACCCATCTCAAGATTGCAACATTCATTGCATTGAAAAAGGGTTTCCCAAGGGTGGGCTTTGGTACCGAATTCCTCCTGCTAGTTGGTCCTGCTGTTGCAATGCATGATTCTTAATTGGAATAAAGGTCAAATTAACCATCGAACGTAGCGTGAAAATGCAATTGGGCCACTTAACTAAAAAAAGGTGCAATTAGACCATTGAACATTGTAAAATCATTCAATTTGTGCCAAGTGACCTGAAACAGCAGGTTAACAACATGTAATTATTTAAAAATTAAAAAAGAAAATTTAAAAAAAGTTTCCAATCGTCATCTTCATGGATCAGGAGACGAAAGACAGCCAGCGCCACCACCCTACACCACCGCCATGGCCGATCATCCTACTGCCGTCGCCATTCCCCTCGCGGTCACCGCCACCGTCTACCGTCGCAACGCCAGCCAATAGACGATTTGCAAAACAACCAAAGCTTCGTTGTCGTGTTTCTCTGAGTTTCGTCGCCGCTTCCCCTGGTCGTAACGCCGGGTCTGTCGCCAGGAGGGGAGCCGAAAAGTCCAGCCTAGCCGCCGTTGTCCGCTCTTTCGTTTTCTCCGAGTTTCGCTTCCTGTTTCTTTTTCTTTACTGTTCCGCGGAACCTGTCAGTGAGAACCCCATGCCCACCTTCTCCGTTTCCACGATAACCATTGTCTTGATCATCAAACTTGTTTTAATTTAGCCCTTGGATTCTGACTTTTTTCTCCTGATTACATGTTGCCAGATGTTCCTCAGCTCTTCAATTCGCACAGGCTTCACCAAATAGTCACACGAGGCTTTCGATTTCTCCGAGTTTCGCTTCCTGTTTCTTTTTTTTTTTCTTTTTTTTTCTTCTTTTGTTTTAAAATAATTTTTAATTTCTTTTTTAAATTTTTAATTATTACTTGTTAGTAACCTGCCATTGCAGGTCACTTGGGACAAATTGCATGATTTTACAATGTTGAATGGTCTAATTGCACATTTTTTTAGTTGAGTGGTCTAATTGCATTTTCACGTTACGTTGGATGGCTAATTTGACCCTTATTCCTTCTTAATTAGATCAGATGACTCAATTCTGGATTGAATTGAATAGATTGATTATCGTATTTGATTTCTGCTCTTATCCTCCGTATGTGTTAATTAGACAAAATTTTTAAATTTTGAGGAGACAAAGGTACAAGATTCCTGGCAATCTAGCTATTAGTTTCCCTTCACTTGCCTTCACCAAAATATACAAATTAAACCAACAACATCAACATTGAGGGTTACTACGACCTAAGGGTGTTTCACCATCGAAAGTTCGTTATTGTTACAACGTTGAGTAGTAGTTGGTGGAAGCACCTCTAAGATGGATTTGTTCTTAATTTCGTAATACAAAACCGTCTTTGAATCCTCGAGCTTCATTCCACCATAACTAAGCGCCCCCACTGAATACCCAACTATGCTCTCTGATGGATATATTGGATCCGAAGCGAACCAACCCGGAGAGACGGACCCGAGAAGCCTCGGCCTAGTCCCTTGGGCCGTGGCCGAGTCGGCCCAAAGCATCTCAGCCTTGGGCCGAGCCCGGCCACGGGCGAGCTCGGTATACCTGAGCCCGTCACCATGGACTCGGCCACTGCCGAGCCGGTCCATGGTGGACTCGGCTAGGCCGAGCTCGGCACGTGCCCAGCTCGGCCATGTCGAGTCAGCCCGCCTTGGACTCGGTCCCAGGGGGGACGCGATCAAGGCGGGCCGATCCAACTACCCCCGGTCTTAAGGGTGCGATTGGGGGGTTTGAGCTGATATAAAAAGCCTCCTTCTTGTCCTAAACAAGGACACGACACAACACAACACAACACAACATATTCTTGAACTACTATCTTCTAGCATTATTGTCATAATCAAGTCTTGTAATAGCTTATTAGCGATAATTAATACAATATACGGTCCCTGCGACCTACGATCCCAGCGACCTTACGACATCTCTGCGTTATATTATTTATTTCGTACACATTCTTATCCGGATTCATTAATTCGGGTCTACCCCGGGTCAATTAATTCCATCACTCTCAACCAAACTTCTCACATCCAGTATTGTGTAAAACTCCCTCACCTGTATTTTCACAGTTTTTCCACACACCATCTTCACTGAAACCTTAAAAACTAGAGGACTCAATAACACAACGTAAAGCAACGATGCACTAGTTATACCCATAATCGATAGAGTCTTTTCCTCATTCTCATTCAACATCCTCTGACGATAAAACAAACAGATTGTACTCATTTGACCCAATGTTTTCGTTGTCCGCAATCACAACCCTCAAATTCTGGACCGTATCCTCAGCTTTCACTTGAATGGTAAAGGTTATATTCCTATATGGCATCTTGATAGTCAACCACAGCAGCTCCGAATTTCCAACATAGGCACTACTCACAGTGGTGTTACTGCGGATTCCATAATCAAAAAGGGTCGTCTTGTCATTGTTGAGATGATTGCCGTTGAAAAACAGCTCCTGATGAACCTTTGGAGGTATTTCCCATTCGTACACTAAACAATCTTTGAGTTCGCCAACAGTTTTAAATTTACTCATCTGGAAACTCACAGTTTTAATTATCTTCAGGCATATGTTTATCTGCAAAAAACATAGAACGAACCATCATAATCTAGCTACAACAGATAATAATTTTTCTAAATTAAAGAAAACAACAATACAATACAATACATATGGTACTAGTTTCAAACCACCTCGTCTTCCCCTTCCTGTTTTTGTTGAGCCATGGGATTAGAGCTCCGCTGACACGATGCTTCCATGTAGAAGGTTGAAGTTGAACAAACACAGACACTACCTGTTATTATATACAAACTGAGCGGCCGTTTAATTAAATATACGAAGCATAAAACTTCCTGGGAAAATGGAATGGCACGCCGCCATGCCGATTGAATTCTACGATGTCGCCCTTTTCGTTTAATTAAATTAAATTGAAGTATTACAAATCAAATAAATTTAGAGCATCTAATCAGAGGAGAAATGGGGGAGAATTCACTACTTTTGAGGTCAAAATGCCATGGTGGCAGAGGGAGAGAGAACCAAGAGAGAGAAGGGGTGGGGAGCATTTGCAAAGGTTGAGATATTACTCTGCCCAATAGAGAAATGACATACTTATTTTTTTATATATTTTTTTAAAAAATCAGTTTTGATTTTTTTTCCTCCCCTCCCACATTATTCTCTTTCCTACTCACTCTTGCATTCTCCCCCTAATATCCCCACTCTTAGCGTGGGAGCAACCTCTCAAAGTGAGTGATACTTCTTGTGCTTGAAGTAAGCAAATGTTTAACCACTGTGTTCCGAGTTATTATGATTTACATCCTCCCAGTAGATACTCTGTCGGGCGAGTTGTGGATTCAACCTTTTCGGAACAACGTAACATAAAAACAACTTTAATTTGTATAAAACAAATACTACATACCATGTAATAAAGTCATAGTACTCAAAAAATAAACGAAAAAACCTACAATGGTTGATGAAGTACATAATGCAATGGTGCAGCGCAGCAACAAAATGGAGACAAGAAGACACGTTTGGTAGACGCGTTTGGTAGACGTCTTTAGTAGACGCTTTTGGCAGTTATAACTGCTTCTTTCTTATCTCTGTATATAAGCTCATGTTGAGCTTCCGTTTTCAATGTTAATCAATTCCCTTTCTTCTCTGCTTAGACTCTAGTATACTTTGCTCAACAATATGGTTGATTCTCATACATGACCTGAGATAATTTATCATGGTATCAGAGCACCGCAGCTACGCAGCGGTGGTGATGTCAGAAAATCAGAACAACAACGACAGAGGCTCGATAGAACAAGCCGGGGCCGGAGCTTCTTTGAGTCAGATTCCGATGAACGTCGATCATGCACAGGAGTTCGGCGATCTTTGGTATCTCCATATCACGGAGAATCCTAATTTGATTCTCGTCTCTCCGCCTCTGTCCGAAGTACACTATGCGTCATGGAGTCGATCAATGAAAATTGCTCTCGAGGTGAAGAACAAATATGGATTTGTTGATGGATCCATCACTAGGCCTGAGGAAACTGATCGGAGATTCTCTGTTTGGAGGAGGTGCAACAACATTGTTTGCTCGTGGATCCTCAAGTCTCTTAGCTCCACGATTGCAGAAGGAGTCTTGTACCTTGAAACTGCATCAAATGTGTGGAACACTCTGAAGAAGAGATATTCTCATATAGATTCACACAGGATTGCTGAACTGCAAAATGAGATCTATCGATGCTCACAAGGTAATCTCTCAATCAACGAGTATTTTACTAAAAGCAATGGTTTATAGATGCAAATGAATGCTATGAGGCCAATTCCTGCTTGTGAATGTGTTCCTAAGTGTACCTGCTCCCTAGTAAGCAAAATCCAAAAGGAAAAAGAAGAGGATCAAATCATTAGGTTTTTGGAAGGCCTAAGTGAAGAGTATGGCTTTAAAAATGGAAAGGAAAATTAAAAACTCTTTCAATCAAAGGAACAATGGTACAGTTCAAGCAAATGTTCTGCAAAACAGTCAAGATTAGTATGAAGAAGAACAGTCTCTAGTGGCAGTCTCAGCCCTAAACAGTAAGAAAAAAATACAATAATGGTAGTGGATCAGGAAAGAGTGTGCCTAAGTGTACTTTCTGTGGGAGACTTGGTCACACCATTGACAAATGCTACAAGAAACATGGTTTTCCCCCTGGCTGGATCCCAGGATATAAGTCTAAAACTAGACAAACTCAGGACTCACAACAAGCTCCTAATTCCCTTGTGAATCAGGTTGGTGATGTAGGTCTGACATCTGAACAATTTCAGAAATTGCTGTCTCTATTACAGAATCAGAACCAGGGGAATCAAGCATCAACTAGTGCAGCTGTGACTGTCAGTAAAAATGGTCTTAAGCCAGATTTCAAAAACTCTACTGAAGGCAGGTTCATCTCTAATCTCCATATTAACAATGCCTTATTTTCATCAAGTGTATGGATTCTTGATTCTGGTGCCACAGATCACATTACATGTTCTTTGGATTTTTTTGAGACATGCCATGTCATTCATGAAGTTTCTGTTAAGTTGCCTAATGGGGAAATGATGAGTGTCTCACACATAGGACAAGTCAGGCTAGACATGAACATATTGTTGCAAAATGTTTTGTACATACCATCCTTCAATTTCAACATTATATCTGCAACAAAACTGATAAGGCAGTTAGGTTATGAAATCATTATGAAAGCTGACTCTTGTAAACTTCAGGGACCTCTTGGGATAGTGTATGGTTTTGCTAAAGAAAGAAATGGGTTATATCTAATAAACAACCCCCACCCCCCTGTCAAGAAGAAGAGTGGTAGTTCAGATGAAGTTTCTAGATCATGTAACAGTTTCTCTTTACAGCTGTGGCATGACAGATTAGGCCATTTTCCTGTAAATAAGATACAATTGTTGAAAGGAATAAAACTTGCCTCTTCTCTGAAATGTCATAATTTTGTTTGTGATGTTTGTCACTTTGCAAGACACAAGAAATTCACATTTCCTGTCAGTGTTAATAGAGCTAAGGCATGTTTTGATTTATTGCATATGGATGTTTGGGGCCCCTTTACTGTTGCATCCCTCAAAGGGGAACATTACTTCTTGACTATGGTAGATGATCATAGCAGGTTTACCTGGTTACATCTAATGAGGCACAAATCAGAAGTGAAGCCTATTTTCCAGAATTTTTATAATATGGTTTGCACTCAGTTCCTAGCCAAGATCAAGGTTGTTAGAACAGATAATGGTGGTGAATTTATGATGAATGATTTTTTTGGTGAGAAGGGAATTCTACATCAGAAATCTTGTGCATACACACCCCAACAGAATGGGGTGGCAGAGAGGAAACATCAACATATTTCGAACATGGCAAGGGCTCTAAAATTTCAATCTGGACTGCCTGACAAATTCTGGGGTCATTGTGTTCTACACTCTTCTTACCTGATCAACAGGCTACCTACTGATGTTCTAGATGGATCCACTCCCTACCAAGTTTTATTTGGCACAAACATAGACTATGGTAAGCTCAGACCTTTTGGTTGTTTATGCTTTGCTGCCACAATTGCACAAGGCAGAAACAAAATGGAATCAAGAGCTAAGAAATGTGTTTTTTCTGGGATTTGCTGCCAATGTAAAGGGTTATTTACTGTATGATATTGCTAACAAAGTTACCTTTATCTCTATGGATGTTAGGTTCTATGAGCAAACCTATCCCTTTAAACAAGGCAATCTACAGAATACTACATCAGAATTATTCAATCCCACTCTACCTCTTATTCCCATCTCAGTTGAAGTTGATGCTACTGCCTTGGATTCAACACGAGTCATTCCTACAGACACTTCCCCAAGTAGAGGAATTCATGATGTTAATACTAGTCCTGGTGACACATCCTATGATGCACCTCCACAAATTTCTCATGACTTGTCACCAGATATTCATATAGAACTCCCACAGCTTGGTTCTGATTCACCAGAACAGAATACTGAATAGATGGAGCCTCCACCTACTGATGACATTGATCCTCCACAGCCAAGAAGGTCAGCTAGGATAAAAACCATCCCTTCCAGATTCCAGGATTACCATTGTCAGTCTGCTATTAGAACTTCACCTCATCCATTGAGCAAGTTTATTTCATATGACAATTTGCCTTCCAGTCTGAGGATATGTGCCTCTTCTATAACTGAAGTACATGAGCCCCAAACTTATAATGAGGTAGTGAAACATGAGCAATGGAGAAATGCAATGCAGAATGAGATACAGGCACTGATCCAGAATGACACTTGGATTTTAACAGATTTGCCACCTGGAAAAACCCCAATTGGATGTAGATGGGTGCATAAGGTCAAATACAAGTCAGATGGTTCTATTGAAAGATACAAAGCTAGGTTGGTTGTCAAAGGATATACTCAGCAGCTTGGAGTTGATTACAATGAGTCTTTTTCTCCTATGGCTAGGATGACAACAATTAAAACCTTTCTTGCTGTTGTTGTTGCTAAAGGTTGGGACATTCAACACTTGACATTAATAATGCTTTCTTACATGGTGGTTTACAAGAAGAAGTATATATGGTTTTACCTCCAGGTTTTCAAAGTGATAATCCTAATCAAGTGTGCAGATTGGTGAGATCCTTGTATGGTTTGAAGCAAGCTAGTAGGCAGTGGAATGCCAAGCTAACTGGAGCTTTGCTAAGCAATGGTTTCCAACAGTCATCTGCAGATCCATCACTGTTTACAAAGTGTCTTAATGATTCCTTTATTGCATTATTGGTATATGTTGATGACATTTTAGTTGCAGGCAACAATCCAGTCCAGATTAATCAATTGAAGCAGTTTCTGGACAGATCTTTCAAGATCAAAGATCTTGGCCGATTGAATTTCTTTCTTGGCATTGAGGCTTTCAGAAATTCCAAGGGGCTTAACATTTGTCAGAGAAAATATACTCTTGAGATCTTAGAAGAGAATGGATTCCTGGAATCCAAGCCTGCAAATACTCCTTTCACTACAGGTCTAAGGCTCACTAATCTAGAAGGAGATCTACTTGATAACCCTGAAATCTATAGAAGATTGGTTGGTAAATTGCTATA